GCCTCGCACCGATGACCTATCCACGTCATCATTTACCCAGAATGCTTTGCGTGTAAATAAAATGGCCCCGTCCGTGTAAACTTTGAGTTTAAAAATTTACAAAACTAAACAGCCTACAGTATTTTTACAGTCTTTATTTTACAGTTAAAATATATGTTTATTAAATAAAGTCTAATGTTACAACTAATCGGGGATCCCTTTAAAGTCAAAAGTTAAGTAAGGACATTTGTGTGTGGTAGATTTCTTTGTTGTGACAAAGCTTCTTTAATCTTATACCATTGGAAAACCTGTTAAATTCCCTTTTAAATGGTGCCACATTTGTAAGGAACATGCACTTGTCGGATGAGCAGAAGAGCTGTGGGTTGCGCACATGAAATATTTGCCAAATCTTCTGTACCAAACAGCTATTTTGCTGTTGATTTGAGCTTCTGGTACTCCCCGGTACCAATCAGGTGCCCGCTCTAAGATTTATTGCCAAGAAGTTACATCACACAAATAATCTACTAAACAGAAACTTTCTGACGCTTTGTGCTAAGTTTGTATTGATGTGCAGACTCCATGAAAGTGAAGCACTCAAATTAGTACACAAGTAAATAAGTTAATGAGTGCAGGTATGAAATGGTGCWACAAATACCTGCATGTAATAGAGAGTGTTTGGTGGACTTGAAGCACTCGGTCGTCTCTGGAGCTGTCCAGTACGGGTGGAGTCATAGAAAAGCCTCTCACCAGACCTGAGGGAGCAAACAGACATGGGTCAGTCAGAACCGAGCGGAGTGGCTGGTGGGCCATCATGCCTCAGAAAAACACATCTGAAATCTCTACGTTTACAAGCTGTAAGGCAATTTGTGGCGACGCACTCGGTCCCTTGTGCTGAGTAACACCCAGACAGCGAGATCATGGCCCACTCACTCATGATGAGGCCACGCTGCTCTCAGCTCTGAGCCAACAGCCGCAAAAACTATCAGGCCTTGATTCATCACCGCTGCGCTCACCGCTCTGGCTTTTGCTCGGTTATTATGGGCGGTCTCGAATGTCGCTGCTGTCCCCGGGTCCCTTCAGGCTTCTATTAGCATTTATTCAGACTCAGTACAGCCCATCATAGCTACAAGTGTCACAGTGACTTATGCTCCACCTGGATTTCATTAGAGATTGAAACAAACAGAGACCATATGTTTGTGGGGGGGATTTATTGTATTAAATAAGAGAATTTTTCACATTGAAAATGAATGGAGCATCGGCCTTCTTAAAATACATTAAAACTGTTAAATATTTACTGCACTTTTCACATTTGGTTCTGTTTATTTTTGTTCTTATTTGTGCTAATTTTAGCTACGTTCAGCTTCTTTTTGCTTATTGTAGCTTTTTCAAATACCTTTCTGCTCGTTTTTAGCTTACACTTTGTGTGCTTCTTTCAGCCACTTTCTGAAATTTAAGCTAATTCTTAGCTATTTGCAGCTACTTTGGCTTTTTTTTCAGCTAAATTCACCTTTTTTGCGATTATTTCCRTTTCTTACTGCTTAATTCAGCAAACATGATATTTTCTGATTCTTTGTGCTTCTTTGCAGCTTTTCAGCTGCTTTGAACTCAGTTAATTTCATATTTTGGGCTATCTTACAACAAATTGCACACCTTTCTTCTGCAGCATTAGGCATTTACGCTGCATTTTCACAGAAAATGCAAATTTTCTACTTTAAAATTGTTATATGTGAGCTTATTGGTATTTTCTCTGCTCCATCTCATCACAGCAGAACATTGACATGAATGTCAAACACGTAAAAAGCAGCAGTAGGAAATTTTGATACCTTCCGACATTTGAAAGGTGGGAAACAAACAGAGCAGCAGCAAAACCACAGTTTTACAGCAGTGAGGAGTGATGTGATGCCAGTTAAAACCCTGCTGGCTGAGGAGCACCATGCAGAGATATTACTGAGTAAATATTTGAGCGTGTGTGTCTACAGTAAAGGCACCATGGTGGAAGAATATTAATGAGGTTGATGTTTTTCCTGATCCTTCAAACACCCTAATATAAACTCCTTAACTTTAGGTCTTTGGCCCTCGGTCCTTTACTGCTGAACATAAAATACTGTATAAATATAAAAATGAGAGAAAACCTATAATTTGATCATTTCCCCCCCTGCTGCATTACTATAAAAAAACTATAGTGGTTAAGGAGTTGAAGCCAGTCTAAGTTGCAAAACATAAAAAGAGAACAGTTCTTGCTGTGCCCAGGTGTGTTTTATCTTCCAGGGTTCCTACACTTTAAGGCAAGTTAAATTTAAGACTTTTTAAGACTATTTAATGCCAAGTGAAATCATATTTAAGACCGATTTCATAATAAACACAAATGACAAAAATAAAAAATAAAAACTGGCAGAAACTCATGAAGGAAAGTATTCAAATATTGCTAATAGACCAACTGTTTTCATCCATATCTAACTATAGAAGAAACGTTCTTAGCAGTCAGTTTTAAACTTCATTTAATTTCTGGAAATCCTCTAACAAACCAAAATATGGAGTTTTATGACCCACAGTGGGGTCTTAACCCCAGTTTGCTGTAGATGAAACCCTAAAGTGCCCGTGACATCAATTTTTT